ATACAAATGTTAAAGATAAATCATGAGCTTTACAGGTAAAAATATAGAAAAACTACTCCCTCTGTGTACATCTGTCTCTCATACTTTCTCTGTTGCTGTCTCTTTCCCTTCCCCCTTCCACCTTCCCATTTCCCTATCTATCTTCTCTCTCTCTCTATCATATCTCTACCCATTCTATTCTCTCTCACTCTCCCTCCCCCCCATTCTTCTCTCCACTCTCCCTCTCCCCCATTCATTCTCTCTCACTCTCCCTCTCCCCATTCATTCTCTCTCACTCTCCCTCCCCCTTTCATTCCTCTCACACTCCCTCCTCCCCCATTCATCGTTTCTCACTCTCCCTCTCCCCATTCATCCTCTGTCACTCTCCCTCTCCCCCATTCTCCTCTCTTCACTCTCCCTCTCCCCCATTCATCTCTCTCACTCTCCCCTCCCCATTCATCTTTTCTCACTCTCCCTCCTCCCCATTTATCCTCTGTCACTCTCCCTCTCCCCCACTCATCCTCTTTCCCTCTCCCCCATTCATTCATTCACTCACTCACTCGTTCTCTCTAAATCCTTAGTCTTACCACCTCATTATCTTCAGCATGTTTTCCCTTCATATTCACTTCATTATTCTTCTTTGGCTCATCATGTCCATCCTTGACATCACGACTTTCTCTGTCATCCTGAATGTCACAATAAAACAAATTATTAAATATCCAATCATATAAATATATATCTTTCTTATTATTTTAGGAAATTATGTTGCTCTAATCTTCATTGCAGGAACCATTGCAAGAAATAAAGGTACTACCAACCCTTCTGTCAACATTATTGTCCTTTTTAGCAGATCTATCGTCGTGGCGGTTATCCCTGCGGTCATCATCCCGATCATCTCGCCTTTCAATTTTCCGGTCATCACGTCGGTCATCCCGACGTTCGATCTTACGATCATCACGGCGATCATCCCTTCGGTCATCCCTTCGGTCATCCCTTCGATCATCTTCTGCGATCATCCCTACGGTCATCCCGACGCGGTTCATCTCTGTGATACAGATTTATAAGTGGGATAAATCTTCTCTGTAGGATTAAAAGTAAGCTTAGGAACAACAATATTAACCCAGTGACTGGAGTCTTAAGCATTGGCTAGCAGCATGTTAACAATTGGCAGTGCCCACATTTGTGCCCAGCTCATTTGGTATTTCAAACCCAACTACGAGCACCTAACTGTACATTTAAGGAATATTTCATGACACCAAACAAATACTATCACTACTATTGGAAACAGTGTGGTGCCACTTGTGACCTGGCCTAGTTCTGCCTTGGTATGACACGATGTGATCGGTATTAAAATGCATAACAAGTAATGCCTTTTGCACTAAAAAACCATGGAGCATTCCACTTTTAAAGAAACTATCCGTTTTACCCAACATATGCTGTTCTTCAGGAATGTTTATAATTCCTAATCTAAGATTTAACCAGCAACTTTTCAATATGAATGAGGCTCTCCGTACTTATGATGTCTGGTATCAATCATTGATGTTTATTTATATCATTATGTTTACATATAGCAGTATGCAGCATGTAGCCATTCAGCCTGTTATTGTTCAATAATAAACAATATTTTCTATAATATACAAGAATCCTTATAATAAAGGTCTGTGACAAGATTCCAATATTTTAATGCCCTTCCTGTTTTATGCTACATAGCAATACAGTAACAAGTCACACTGATTTTGAAATTGTTTAAACCCAATTTTCTTTTACTTCAACTTAAAAACTAATTATATAATGTAATTACAAGCAAAAAAGCCATGAAGAAGATCGTTTGGTCAGAATTTATGAGAGGTTATAAAGCAAATGCATACTTGTCTAACCTCCTTAATTTTTCCTCAATCTCACGCTCACGGGCAGCTGTATCTACAGGTTTGGCTGAACCAAAGATGTTTCCACCTGTACCACCTGCTGACTCTCTGAAAAAAAAAAAAATAAATAAATAAATGAAAATTAATAAGTTTATATATGTTTGTATATATATAAATAAAAATAAATAAATAAATACATATGTGGACACACACACACACACTCTATATCTATATGGCTCTATATCTACAGGGCTCTATATCTACAGGGCTCTATATCTACAGGGCTCTATATCTACAGGACTCTATATCTACAGGACTCTATATCTACAGGACTTATATTACAGGGCTCTATATCTACAGGACTCTATATCTACAGGACTCTATATCTATAGGACTCTATATCTATAGGACTCTATATCTATAGGACTCTATATCTATAGGACTCTATATCTATAGGACTCTATATCTATAGGACTCTATATCTAGGACTCTATATCTATAGGACTCTATATCTATAGGACTCTATATCTATAGGACTCTATATCTATAGGACTCTATATCTATAGGACTCTATATCTATAGGACTCTATATTATAGGACTCTATATCTATAGGACTCTATATCTATAGGACTCTATATCTATAGGACTCTATATCTATAGGACTCTATATCTATAGGACTCTATATCTATAGGACTCTATATCTATAGGACTCTATATCTATAGGACTCTATATCTATAGGGCTCTATATCTATAGGGCTCTATATCTATATGTATCTATATCTATATGTATATATAAACTCTCACTCACTCAGTCTTTCTAAACACATTCGCAGACACAAAAATTCATATCCCTTTGACTGACAATTTCCACACACATTACAACTTTATGCCACTCTGCATGGCAATTACCACTCCAGTGAAATTTTATGAATATATAAATAAAATGACACTCCTGTGCTATACTAAGACTGCACTTCTAATGCAAAACCTACTTCTTTGGTGGCGCCGGCACATCCTTTGAGTGCAACTTGTCTTCGATCTGTCTCTCGCGGGATGCAGTGTCCACGGGTCGAGCAGATCCAAAAATGCTGCTGTTAGCAGATGATGCATCACCCTTTTCTTCACTTGCTGGAGCACTTCGAGGTTTCAAGTTCAACCTGATAACATTTATGATTATAAATACAAAGGCATTCTGTTAACCTACAAAGAGGCGTGTGTGTATTATGTATATGAATAAATAAAAAAGGAACTAGATTCTTGTGTTTCTCTAAGACTTCTATCTCATAGTTGAGGATATTGATTAAAAATAAAAATCAGTACTTTCTCCAAAATCTCTCTTTAGCATTTGACAACTCAAATGTACCTTTATCATATTTGCACAAAAAAATCTATTCATGAGGCTATCCCCAACTTTTGTGCTGGGATCTTGGAATCACTACTCAAACCAAAAAATTCCCTATTCTTAAATATGTACACATAGACACTTCAATATCTTAAAAAACTTTATGGATCTTACTTAGGACGTGTTCTTGGTCCAGCATCATCTCTTGGAGGCCCTCTTGGCCCATCGTCACGTCTCCACTGGCTGTCTCCGCCATCTCGATATCCTCTGCGATCATCATCATAGCGACCACCACCACCACCTCCTCCATACCGGTCACCTGAGACATTAAATCCTTAAAAACACTCAAAATTTATTGCTTTAACCTTATAAATCTTCTCTGTTTAAAAAAATGACCACCACTGGGTGTGTCTAAAAACTCACTTCTGCAAATATTCAACTGTTATTCTACTTGCTAGATATTAAAAGTACCTAATCAGCAGGAAAATGCATCTACAATACAAAACTCTACTGATATCTTACTGAAAACATGCAATTGAGCAAGACCCATTAACCCATTCTCTACGGTCCATGTGAGGTTCATGTCCTGGCTGACTTGGACTGTCTTGAAGCATGACATAGAAATGGAGATAACTGAAGCTGTGATGGCAGCAGCCTTGTCTATCACTCATTTCATTAAAATAAAATTTGCATTTTTTTTTTTTTTTTTATCCCTCAACAAAACCATATTCCATCTTGTACAGAGAATGTAACATACCTCATTTATTGAAATGGACTCTAATGTATATAATAATCAAGCTGCTAAAGGTTCAATCTAGCAACTACAATGGATCTCATGCATATGTTGTGAATACAAGTGATAAAAGAAAGAAAAGAAAAGAAAAGAAAAAAAAACATCGCCACAAGTGATACACACCAGCTGTATCTGTAAGGCCCTGGAAGCAAGACCAGTCGGCTGCATATACTCCCCCGACCCAAGGCAAAGTGAACCCCATATTTTCCCGGAGGCAATGGGTTAATATAAAACTCATTGAGCCTCTCTCTGTCCCTCCTTCCAAGCCATACCTTTCAGCAACTTGTCATCCACTTTTAGAAAATCTTGTATTACATACCTTACTTGTACATCTTTATTGGTATATCTTTTTTTGATTGAAGAAATCTTTAAAGCTCTACTTCGGGAAAACATGATAATGGCAAGCAAGGAGGAACAGTAAGAGAAAATCACTTTATTGGGTGCTGTTAATCAAAATACATTTGCAATATACTAAGAAACCATTGCACTAAAAAGGTAAAAGCACCTAGATTTTTCAACTTTTCCCTTTATTATATGATGGTACAAGGTCCTAGGTTACAATCACAGCACCATGCATTGTGAAACCCTCACTTTTTTCTTGTGCAATCATGCAGTGATAAATCTTGACATTACTTACCTGCTAATTCTGAATTTGGACGCAGAACTAATGTTCATTTTACAAATCCATGTTCATTTTGCTCTTATGCCTAAACATAGAAGTACTTACAGAAACATTTGGCAACATCTGAACAAACCAAATCTTACATGCATAAATACTCTCACTTCTTATAAACAATTGAGTAAACAAAAATAGGTAGTGACAATGACCTAGATATAGGCTTATTCATGCATCCATGCAACGGTACGTTTACACACAGCTAAGCAATTTGCTTATAATCGTGCTCTTGATATATGAGGCATTTCATGTCACATACAATTCAAGCATTTTTTACAATGGACACACACAAATAGGCCCAAATTGTTATTTCTTAAATTTTACCAAGTGATATATTTAAAACATCAATGACATAAATATAGCACAAAAATTCCTCCTGTTACTAAACAATGTGGGCCTGTTGCCATTTTTTATATCTGCCCTAATAAAGGTACACAAAATAATGACACATTACATAAACTGTAACATAGCCAGAGGACTAAGAGCAAGCAGTAAACCGAGCTTTGCATTACCCACAATCTGGGTTTTGCTTACCTCTATCCCTGTCATAGCCTCTGTCTCTGTCATAGCCTCTGTCCCTGTCATAGCCTCTGTCCCTGTCATAGCCTCTGTCTCCATACCTGTCCCTGAACCCTGCACCAATAATAAAAGTTGAAAATGACGCAAAAATGAGGGTGCTGTTGGTGATGGTAATGTAGAAGTACTAGGGTGCAAGAATCTTATACAAGAGGGGAGAGACAAAAAAAGAAAAAAAGAAAAAGAAGAAGAAAGGAAAAGTGGAGAGAGAAAATCAGTGAGAAAGTGAAAGAGGGAGAGGGGAGGAGGGAGGGAGAGGGAGAGAGAGGGAGAGGAGAGACGAGAGGGAAGAGGAGAGAGAGAGGGAGCAGGAGAGGAGAGGGAGAGAGAAGAGAAGAGGAGGAGGAGAGAGAGAGAGAGGAGAGAGAGAGAGAGAGAGAGAGACGAGAGAGAAGAG